TGTGTATGTATTTTATGTACGTCAACTCTGAGCCACAAACTTTGTTAAATTTAAACAGCCATATCTATTCAAGACAAAACTGAGACTAACAATGATGTCTGATGTCTTGCCATGGTCATACTCAACATTCAGGTGGTGGTTACCATATATATATACATATATATATATATATATATATATATATATAATTAGGCTAGATCACTATAAACAAATGTCTGAATTGCATATATACTAATAAACCAAAATATTATGATTACCTGTTTAATAACATGTTGTTCCATCATGTGCCGACAAAACAGCTCTTGTCAATAATTTATGGTTTCTACAAGCCTCTGAAGATTTCACTTGGAATCTGGCAAAAGATGTTATTAACAGGTTCTGCAAGTACATGGTGAAATTCTGAAGAGTGTGTTTCTTGATTTGACTTATCCTATGATGGCTCAATGGGACTGAAATCTTGGATGTTTGATGTCCAAGAACAATGAAGTCATCTTTGTATTCATCAAATCATTCACCTCCAACTTTTTAAGTGTGCCAAAGAATATTGCCTTACTAAAAGATGCTACGACTATCACAGAAGACTGTGGCCATGAAGGTGTGTTCCTTTTATTGATAATGAGATAGACTGATACATGATAAAGTGTCTTCCACATAAATGGTACAACCCAGTGTTTTCCAGCAAAACGTTTACCAAAATATTACAATTCCTGCAGTGGATTGTGTTTTTCCCACAGTGCTGCTGTATCTTATTATATATACATTCCTACCCACCTTATTTAAGAAAAGTTAAGATGTATTGGACAAGGTGACTCCGTTTTGTTGCCCAATTGCAATGCTTGCTAGCCCACTGTAAATGCTTTCTGTGATGGACATCAGATAGTATGAGAATTCTGCACAGACCTGTACACAAGATTTAATATATTGCATCCTGGGATGTATTCTGTCTTTTATAGATGATGAAAATGTATCACCAGTAATTCAGTTTAGTTTCATTTAGTAGCTCCTGTAAAGTATTAAAAATTACAATTCTGAAGAAAATTTAGTCTTTTTTTTAAAAAAATGTTTAACTAAGAAATAATAGTTTACCTTTATGTACAGTTTGATAGTTTCCTCAAGTTTTCATTGATTACTTCATCATCAATAGATTTCAAGTGAACTCCTTGAGGAAATCAAAACATCTTCTCTCTCAAGAACACTCATTGATTCCTACTTAAAGCCCATACATTATTTTCACTCCACTGAATAATGATTCTTGAACAGTGAATCACACCAATAATAAAAATAACAATATTGACACTAAAAGTGATGAGAATGATGTACATGTTATTTGGCCGGTCATTGTGTTCAGATGAAGGAAAGTTTAAGATTTATAAAATCCAGAATTTCCGCTGCCGATTTTCTATGTGCCTGTAGTTTTTGGACAGCACAATATTTCTGACCGATATTTGAAAATGTATTGAACTAAACTAAGGTTAATAAATACCTGAGAATACAGTTATTAATATTAAAAACAGTAATAATCATAGTTGCATTGTAATATTCAATTTGTGCAATTGTCAACAAAAATGTACACACAATTTATCCATAATAAGACCTATGCAAAGTTGTGATTACATAAATAAAATCAAAATTCAAACCTTGACTTGAGATTAAATAACAGCACTCACTCTCTTAATCAAGAATATTTTGATGTTATTTAAGAAATTTTACAACAACTAGAATACTTCACAATATTGTCAAAATTATTGCTAAAATTTTTTGTCATGATTTACAAACTCTATGCTTCATTCAACTTTGAAAACCAATAAAACTTGAATAAGCTGATTTGTTTGATAAAATACCTTGACAAAAACTCTACTTCACAGTTTAATAAGTTCTTAAATTTAATTTTATTTGACTTCATGGTAAACAATATTTTTTAAGAAAACTTTCGTTTTTAACAGGGAAGTAATTGTTAGGATTTCTTACTCTTGAGCATGCAACAAACAACTGGCCATAGGTAAATATTTTTTCTGGAGCCAAATGTTTAACTTTTTGATGGAGTTGCCTTTGTGATTTCTTTATAGTTCTCACAAACACGGAGAAAACTGGAAACTGGATTCTTCTATATGAAAACTTAAAGAGACATGCAAAATATATTGCATTTTTATTAAATAAGTATTTGTTTTTTTAAACATTAAATTGTTTTTACAATAGTGGGATTATTTTGTATGTTAAATAATAAAACTTTTTAATTTGTCCAAAAAATTAATGAGCATTTATTGTACTAAATTATTCACCCAAGTAAAACTAATTGTACTTTGTATTTCCTGACCTGTTTGGAGTTCACCCCCAAATTTGGCTTTGATTGGTCAATGTATGGTTATTTTAGAGGGTGTGACAGATGGTCTAATGGAAGTCACAGAATTTGATAGATAGATAGATAGATAGATAGATTACTTTCAATAAATATTTTTGAAAATGGTCTGAATTTTTTAGATGAAGGACTTTCTTGTTAAGTTTCAATTAGTGTATCAAAATATGAAAAATAAAATGTAAGATAGATTACTTATAAATTAAGATGTCCATCTAATGAGTCTCCATAACTAAACTGGTAAAGTGCTATGTAAGAAGGATTTCTAATGATCCAAATTTAAATGCCATTAGACATTAATTCTTCATTTTCAATTCATGCTGCTTATCCAGTAACTTCAGAATAGAAAAATTCAGTAATGTAACAATAAGAAACAATAACATAAAATATAAATTAGTAAAAAAAATAATAATAATCAATATTTTTTATACAGATGATGTATTTTAAATATGCAATAAAATTATTTTACTTACTGCAACATAATTTTATATTCTTTCATGCTATAATAAAAGTGAGACACAATTGTAAATGATGACAGATTTTACAAGTATCTCACTGATAACAAGATATCTGATGTAAATTTGTCAGATATAATTCTCTTCTTTTTATAATCTGTATTTGAAATTCTTGAGTTTCCATGAAAAACAAATTTACATTCCAAATATTTTTAAAGTCTCATTAAAAATCATTTTTTAAATATGACACTTCAAAAATTTATGATTGCAGTCCATGTATTGAATAATCAATGAAAGGGTTTATTTTTTTTATCATGCTAAATTTTGTGAGAATAATGGGTTGTCAGGTTGGATCAAAGAAATATTTAAATGGCCTCAAAGGACAGTGTAATAAAACCAAGTGTCCGTCTATTAAGAATCTCGTTCTTTAGTTTGCTTCAAAATAAAAAAAATACATGCAAATCTGATTTTTAAAATAAAACACAAATATTGAAATATTAGTTTATGAAATACTTGCATTCTACTGCAACTATAATAAATTTATGAAGATCTTTTTTGTGTGTCATGCATGTGGTAGCTGTGCAGATTTTTATTAATAAAGAAATATTTATTTTATTCAGAAGATATGATTGACTGATTCAATTGATTTATTTTCTATGGTTTATCAACCATTTTTTGCAGGTTATTTAAAGCCAGAAAATATTTTTAGTGAGTGAAAATTTTTCTGGTGGGGTAGATGATAAATTACTCGTCTTACTCCCATAAGTTCTGTATGAATTTTGAATAAAGAAAACAAGTGACCAAATGTTACATTTAATTACAGATTCAATCAACAATGTATTTTCCCTGATTATCTATGATATCCTTCCATCTATTAACAAGCTTACTAATTCCATTACTGTAAGATTCTTTTGGCTTTGATTCGAAGAACTCACAAATGTCAGTTTTAACCTCTTCTTGTGTTACAAAAACTGTTTCTTCCAAATGATTCTGTAAGCTACAAAACAAATGGTAGTCTGAAGGAGCAAGATCGGGAGAATAAGGTAGATGAGGAATTTTCTCCCAACCAAGTTCTTCGATCTTTTGTGACGTGATTCTTGCTTTGTGGGGTCGCGCAATGTCCTGATGAAACATCACCCCTTTTCGATTCACTAGAGCAGGTCTTTTTTCCTCAAAGCTTGGTTCAAACGCTCTAATTGCTGACAGTATATTTGAGCTTTAATTGTTGCATTAGGTGGTAAGAATTCAAAGTGGATTATTCCTTGGCGATCCCACCAGATTGAAAGAAGAACCTTTTGCCCATGAAGTTCCCTTCTCGGCTGTGGCTGGGGTCCTTCCCCTTTACCAAGCCACTGTCTATGATGCTTAACATTTCAATAAAAATCCATTTTTCATCGCCAGTCACAAGTCTATCCAAAAAAGGTGAAACAAGTTGGCAAGAATGGAGAGAAGAGCAGATGTCAACTTGGGATTTGAGGTTGTTTTCAGACAATTCATGAGGCACCCATTTTCCAAGTTTAGGAACTTTTCCAAGTTGCTGAAGATGACGATGAACTGTTGTATGGTTTGAACTGAGAACCACTGCCAATTCCTCAACTGATAAAGAAGGATTTTCTTCAAGGGCTGCTTCAAGAAGCTTTTCCTCAAACTCAACTGGACGTCCGGTTCGATCTTCATCTTCAAATGTGAAATCTCCACCTCTGAATTTTGCAAACCATCTTCTGCAAGTTCTTTCATTCACACATTCCTCTCCATAAACTGAGTGAATGTTTCTAGCCGCTTCAGCTGCTGAGTTTCCTTTCTTGAACTCATAAAGCATTATGTGCCTCAAATGTTTCTTGGGTACTTCCATGTTAGCAGGGGTTTAATCAAATAAAATTTAATTTTATTGTTCTCTGAAATAAAATTTGATCAGTTTAAATGCATCTAAACATAAAAATAATGTTCAGCTCCATTAGACATTATAAAACACTCTTTAAATTTCATTCATTTTAACAAAAAGTTAAAATTCAGACAGAACTTATGGGATGACCTGATAATTAACCTATAGCCGAGAGGAGACAAAGTAGATTCATAGTTTTCCCAAGGGTATTTGTACATAAGTGAATGTAATGAACTCAACTGGAATTGGAACTTGGTTCTCTGATTAACAATTTTGAGTTGTCATCCATTACGTCACATGTACACCCAAGCTTACAGCACCTGATATTCCCAAGTGGTCACTCATGTAGGTACTGACCAATTTCAACACTGCTTAACTTTGGGGATTGGATGGGACAAGTGTTTTAACAAGATATAGCCACCAGCCAAGATAGCTTTGAGATTTATCTAAATTGTAATCTAATTTTTTAAAAAAAACATCAAAAGCAAGAACTGACAATTTTATATCTCTTAAATTTTTGCCATCATTTTTAACAGCTGTCTTTATATAGCTTGGTTATTATAGAAAATGATCTGTTAGTTGATAAATGACCCTTTAATTGGGCATGACAGCTCAAAAGATTTGGTGTAACATTTCTATCTATTTCCTTTCACTGTGGATCCAAATATTTCAGTTTGGGGTGAGCGAAGGCTGGGAGCTGTGATTTATGACTTTTACCAATTAAGATGGCAGATACAATGAGTTTAAGTTCCATAAAAGCAGAAATATTTGTGAACACTATAAAAAGAGGAGGACACTATATGACACTGTTTGCTTTCTCAATTTTTCCAATGTGTAGTCACAAGTACCCTGTCACTTCTTGATCTGTCTCCTCTTTTTACATCTAGTCATAGTGATCACCCAAAAATAAGCATCTAAAATCCAACCAAATGTTGATCCAAAGCACAATGATACATTGTTAACATCATATTTGAATCTCTTTGAAAACTGAAGCATGATTGTAAATTAATATAAATCTTATTAAACATCACTTGTATGCAAAGAATCAACTAACTACAATGCCACCTACAGGCATTAAAAGAAGTCTCCTTGTAGACAGATTTTGGGAATCCCACCAAATATTTTTCATCCCTTGAGCTTCGTCTACTGAAAATTCTTATGTCTGTGTCCTAATGGAAGATACCATTTAACATCATTATAAAATATGTCCATTGTCCAATCCAGAACTGATAGTCTAAATTTTATGGCCTCTACATGTATCTAAGAATATCCGTCTACTAAGGCAGCTAGGCAATCCCTGTTGTAGACACCTGCTCAGACACATTTGTGTTTGTTCAAATCAGATCCCACCTGTGTTTATGCTGCAACCATACTGAGCAGAATTCAATTACAGTTTCTGTGAGAGAGCACATTATCTAGCATGATCAACAGTCTGAAAAAAGCCAGCACACACAAAACCCTCAGTCATGATGACTTGTGACTTCATGCTAGCACAACCATCAACGGCTCCCAAAGAGTTCAGTCTACTCAATTTCATTTACAAGGCTTGAGCCAACACATTTGATTTTCAAGGACTTTCCAAAGGTGCTTCATGCTGTGATTGTCTCGCCCAGACCAATAACATCAAGATGTCACCTTCTTGACATATCAACCATGGTGAGATTCAAATCCGGGTCTCATGCTCAGAAAGCAAACTTTCTAACCACTTGGCCATGAGTCTAATCTAAACAATTCCTAGATTTCTTGGACATTTTTTTAATCATTTCACCCCAGGCATGACAATAAAGCCACAAAGATGCAATGGGTTACTGAGTGTGTGTGAATATGATAAAAATTAAGGGTAAAGAACAATATACTAGATAATGATTGGTATTGCATTTAATTTCTCAAGATCAAAGTTGACTGGAAAGCAAGACAACTGAGATCTCCACAAGTGAGAAGTTCAAAAGAAGAAACTGTTAGCATAGAACTTACAATTATATCTAGCATTTGAACTGTAAAATAATGAGACCTTGCCACCAATCTAGTACTGTGCTTAAATTTATAAAGTATAGGTACCAAAGAGGAAAATTCATCCGAACAATTACCATTAAAATATTTATAGAAAATGTATAAGGAAGCTATATTATGGATGTGGGAAAGTGAATGAAGCTGAGATGTCAGATAAGGAGCAATAATACTACAGATCCTTCTTTGGAATTTTTCACAAATAATATCAGAAGCAGCAGATGTGACAGCAATATTCAATGCCTGGATGAATGGTAGACTTGTAAATGTGTAAGATAGATTATTCTTGTCTCGTGTTCAGCACTTGATAAAAACTGCTTTATTCTGTTACTAATAGATGTATTAATTCGCTGTCACTGAAAATTCTTTTGTTCCTGATTTTGAATAAAAAAATTTGATTGGAACCATACTAAAAGTTTAAAAAACAAATTATAGGTCAAACATTGCAAAATATGGTTGCAAAAACATCAAATTCCATATTCAACGCTAATGTTAATGTACCAATTTTCATTCATTTATTCATATCTCTGGGAAGAATCCTTATCTTCCAGTACCAAGAATAACTATCACAAAGGGTAGGCGCTATTGCAGAACTTTTTGTTACTGGGTCATAATGTACCTTTTCTACGCTTTTATCATGACTTTAAAAGTAATGTTTTGCATATGTTATCTTGCACAGCTTAGATAGTATTCAACGATCAATTTTTCATATCATATTAACTATATCTGTTCACCTACGAAATGTTCCATGGAAATTCAGGCATCTGTTTACTTCCTAGATATGCTGTTGATATTTTCTGTGTTACAGACATAAAAAATGTCTTCTGTCATTCAGATTTGAATAATTTTTGTTCTTCACACTGACTTCAGCAACAATCAGTTTGCTATCTTTGGAGACACCAAAAGTAGTGAAATGTGACTAACTGACACTGTAGTAGCAGTTAACAGAAATGTTATACAGAAAGCCAAAGATGCACTGGAATATCAAAAAATGCCTTTCAGAAACTAAGCAAAATATTAAGAAACAGAAAAATTTCACTTGAAACAAAGAAAAGACTACTGAACTGCTGTGTCATATCTATCCTCTGAAATTGCAGTGAATATTTTTCCCCCAAATGAAGAGATATAAGCAACAGAGATGTAGTTCTACTGATGGATGTTGACAGTACAATGGATAAAAATTGAGTAAAATGGAAGCTCGAAGAAAGCTGCTGAAATTTAGGGATATGTAATGAGGAAAGGAGGTTTGGAGAATTTAACACTCACTGGACATCCTGAAGGATGGAGAGGCAAAGGGTAACATTAAGAAAGGTTGGGTGAATGGAGAGCAGAATAAAGACAAAGAGGGGTGTTAGTCTAATATTACTTAGAGTAACAAGAGACAGGATGTTGTGGAGAGCCATGATTGCCTATATAAATATGATACCATATAAAAGAAACTCATTCTTCTTATTCCACTACTGCTACTAGATACATCCCTCTCAGTAGAAGGGGATAGGATATATGCTTAATGGAAGTGGCAGATAGATGAAATGATTTATTGAAGAGAAGACACGTTTCTTTGGCTTCTAATGTATGTTTCTGCTTTAAACAGAAATCTTGTGCTTCTTTTATTTCAAAGCATTGTGCATATTCTCACTGTCTATTCTTTTTATCAAATTTGTTATTTTATTTTCAATTATTCCTTTTTTTCGAGTAATTGTATTGTTTTTTTTTGTTTTTTTTTACATCTTCCAAGATTTTGTTTCACTTGTTTCTGTTAATATCCTGTTGATTACATGTTGGCCTCAACAGTTACGACTGAAAAAAAAAAACAGATTATCCTGACAATTTCAGTCTGTATGTTTGGGATGAGAAGTTATTATTTTCCGTTAAGTCTAAGACAGTAGTACAATATGATAAAAGCCTATTGGATTAAAACTCTGAACACCTGGGCTTTATCAGATGAACATAGCTCTGTTCAGATCAGGCTTCAGCAAGTGCTTAATAACAGGATATTATGGGAAGGCTATTTTTGTTGTTATTTTATTATAATGTTTCTGGAATTGTCATTATCTACATTACTTACATTTGGACTAATTTAATCATTATTTTTATTATATCATTTCAGGCACTGAGCCCTCCAGTATTATTTGGGTAACATTCAGAGATATTTAAAATTGAAACCTTTATTTCCCAAACAGGATTATAACCTAGTGAATTAAAGTACTGGCTCATGGATTTGGTTTAAATGGTAATTGTAGTTCAATCCTTGGGCAGGGTAATACAAAATTAAACTCAGGGCAAGAAATGACTGAGTAGTAGTAAATAGGAAAAAATTATATATATCCTTAGACACTGACAGCAGAATTTGAACAATCTGCCTCTATAGGATTAAGTCTGAAATTCTGAGAAGGTTGCCCAGACTCAAAAACACCTGACAAAAGCCAGAGAGCCCAATAGCTGAAACACTGGAATTATAACAAAAAAGTTTACGATAATAGTCCAGATGCAAATAATTATTCAGGTATATATTTAAGCTGTGGATCATGCCATCTTTTTCATAAATGTTCATTCAATACAAGGCACAAGAGCCACTCTAATAGAGGAGTACTAAATGAGGATGTCAGAGTGGGGAAGTAATTGCAGGATATATCAGATATATAATGACAGAGACTAGACTTGAAGAGATTAAAATTGTAGTGGCCAGGGAAGCATCCTCTTGGGAGTGTGTTCTACAAAGTCATAGCTCTTGGGATGAAGCTGTCCATATGGAATTTTCTTTTTACCAGTGAAATACAAAGAGAATGGTTTGCCCCAGTATATACCGTAAAGTGAAAGTTTTTATGATCATTTTTTTTTTATACAAAAAATAAAGGGTTTTACAATATGCATAATTTCTTGATGAGTTTAAAAATCATGCATTTTCAGCGACTGGTTGCACTATACAAAGGTAAGTTTTTCTGGACAGGTTAAAATTTATGCAAAAAAAATCAGAGGTTACACTATTCATGCAGTTTGCTTATAAGAAGTTATATACGATATGGCATTGTGGGTCTTAGCTGTAAATGTTTACTTTCATGCTTTATATATATCCTCAAGAAGTTGTAATATTATTCCACGCTGTGTTTGTTCTTATGTCTATTTCTTTGATTAGATACAAAAGGTAATACATAAATGGCAACAACTGCAACAAGAAATATGTAAAAGTTTGTTAAGATGAATCCATTTGATTTTAACTAAAATCATGTAAAAATAAAACTTCTCTTTAAACCTAATAAACTCTGATTTTTTTTAGGTAAACACTTATTTAAGACTTAAGTTAATAACCTCAATAAAAGTCATTAAAAGTATTTCTATAAATAAAAATTATAAATAAGAAAAAAATTTGGGGCCAACCTGCATTTCTTTAAAAAATACCTTAAAATGAGATATTT